GTTCAAGGAGAAACCAAGGAGAAAGGCATCAACTTTGAGCATATAAGTGAGATTCAAGGTCAATGTTTGGTTCCAAACGGTTCCTTGTCTTGTTTTCTTGCTTTGTAGGGTTGAAATATTTGATTTTCCCTTATTGATGGAGTTGGCTAAAATGTATATATGGTAGGGGAAGAAGTTTTGTTGGTCCAACTTGTTAAAACTGTTAGTGGCAGTCTCACCCAAGAGGGGGTGAATTGGGAGAGTTATAAAATTTTATGAAATTAAAACAATGTTCTAATAGAAACAGAGTGTGAGTCAGAGAGATTTCATCGTAGAAAAGTGGACTCAGAATTTATACTGGTTCGGTCTCAGCCACCTGACCTACGTCCAGTCCTCAGAATACCTCTGAGTATTCTACTATGTTCCAACATTGATCAGGCTCTTGGTGCCTCAGTACAGTAATTAATACTCTTAATCACTCCCCCATACTTCCCGTAAGGTTACAAACCCACTCAAGAGTCCACACTCTTAAGTATCACACAGGACGTGATTAATGATGAACATGTAAACTCTCTTACAGAGTGAATAAATGATAATCACTGAAGCTCGGTATATGGAAGAACAGAGTATTGAATGCAACATAAATCAATAGATGGTAGCTCGCATATTCAATCTGTTCATTTAATGCTTCTTCACACCTTTTATAGTTGAGGTAGTTTAGTGACCGTTAGACGGAAGAGCTTGTAGCCGTTGAGAGTCTGGCCGTGTGTTTTCCCGTTTGCAATGGTTTCCACCATTAATGCTTCTGAGAAGGTAGGTTACAGGCTACTTGGACAACCATTGGAGAGTCGTTGGGTTTTCTTTGTAATATGCAATAATACATTGATTCAATGAATTTTTCTTTGCAGAGTAAGATCAAAAGTAGAACCGAACAAATGATAAAATGAACATTCATAGTTTACGGTTAGAATCAATCAGTTGTTAAATGTGCTGAGTAATAACTAATTGCACTTGATCGAAGTGATGATCAATTACTGCTTGATCAATCAGGTTATTGATTATTCAGAGTAAGAGCTTTTAAAACAGATAACTAAGTCTATCGATCAAGTAATAGATCAATGATTTATCGATCAAGTGATCGATAAAAGGAAATAGTGACATCATACTTGTATGCATAGAAAAAGAAGATCAAGGTCACTTTTGATTTTGAATCTCTTTAAATAGACAATTAAGACAATTATGAAGATGAAAAAAGATCGAATGAAATAGATGATCAATTTTGAGAAACATCGTGACTAGTTAAAGTTTAAACTGAAATCGCCTCATGATCGAATAAGTGATCGAACACTTGTTGATTGTCACATCCAGTATTATGGTAATTAGAAATAAGAAATATTCTCAAATTATTGAGGATTAAAAATGATAAGAAGAAATAGAAGACTTTTGGTAGAAAATAATTACCATAATTTTCCAAGCTAAATATAGGAATTTGACTAATTAAGGAAAATTGGTCAAATGGAAATAAGAAAAAATATTTCCAAGCCTTGGAAAATTAAGAAAAAATGAGTATAATCTGCTTTGAGAGTTATATGGAATTATAAAGTTGGTTTTATGACCAAATTACCCTTAGAGAAATTATAAGAGAATTTAAGGGTGATTTAGGCTAATTAAGGGATTTTATTCAGAAAATTCCAAATAAATACTTTTAAGGAGAATAAAATTCCAAGAAAATTCCTATGAGACCCCAAAGAATTATAAGAGATTATGGAATTAAATAAAGACTCTCAAGTATCCAAGGTTTTTCCAAATACTTGTGAAAAGTGGAAAAATCCCTAAAGAGGAGGAAATTAATTTTGAGGCAAAGAGGACAATTTGGGAGGATAAAAATGAGAAAAATAAATTAGGGATCTAACAGAAAATAATTACAGAGGCCAAACTACTGTAATTATAGAAAGGAAATTAAACTTAGAGTCAAAGTATACTGATAAAGCAAGACTAGTGTCTTACAAATCAAATGGATCACATTGAGCCATGTGTCAAGCCCTCAATGGAGAGGATTTGAACTTGCCAAGTGTCACTCCTCAAATGGAGAGGATCTTGACTTTTGCTAATTAATCTCATTTGGAGTTTGTTAATTAAGAAAGAGAAAACAAGATTAAAGAGGGTAATGACACTTGGATTCTCATTAAAGAGGGTGGTTAGGATATTTTGGTTCATTAAACAAGCTCATCTCCCCCTCATTTTCAGATGTTGGTTTGGCCAAGGGAGGAAAGGAGAGAAAAGAGGGGGTTTTGAAGAAGGAACAAGGAAAAGCTAGCATCTTTGACCATACAACCAAGGATTCAAGGTTAATTCTTGGTTCTAGATAGGTTCTTGCTTTGTTTTCATTCTTTGTATGGTTGAAAAATCTGTTTCTCCTCTCCTTTGGATGTTGATCGAACTGGTTATCATGAGGGGAAGGAAGTTTTGTTGATCACACTTGCTAAGACACATCAAAACATGTTAGCTCCTAGTGGTTGCAAGTGAGTATAGGTTGTTTTGAAACATTTTTCTTGGTTGTTTCTTTGGATGTTCATTTCAGCCAAGATGATGAATGAAACCTAGGATGAGTTTTTCAATGTTTTAAGGCTTCCATGATGCTTAAAATGAGAAATGGTGTAAGGTAAACCAAAAGGAACAAGTATTGGAAGCATTAAAACAAAATGTAATTTTTGGTTCAAGTACCCCTAGTGGTTTGGTCAAGGGTAGTTGAAAGGAGGAGTTTTATTTTCATAGATCTAAGCACATATTTAGAATCTACATGAAAAGCCATGTAGGAATAAGTCTAGAAGCAATTTTTAGAGTTAAAAGGAAACAAGTTCAAAAATAGTGAACAAAGGTGGAAGCTTTAAGGAGCAAGAGTCATTTTTATTTGTGTTCTTGCTTTTCCTTCATTGGTTAATGATTCTTGCTACTCTTTTTGATGGATTACATTGCTAGGGTTTGATATTTGTGAAGGGAAAGAAGAGAAAGAAAGAAAGCTCAAGCTTTTGGAGTAAGGTAGCAAGTTAAACCTAGCTACTAACACTAACTTGGCATTATTGACTATTGCATGATTAATTGCTATTATATGGTTGAACTTTCTTGATTGTGATGTGGTTGCTCTTTGTACTGTCTTGCTTTGGCTTTTGCATGATTGATTTTGCCAAATGATAAGCATGTTAGTTCACCAATAGTAGTTAATGTAGTTATGCATGTTGATGATGCTTGTTGGTGATATAGTTGGTTAATTTGCTATTGGGATTTCAAAGAAATCTCATTCCACAAATACAATCTAACATTTTAGGGCATGAATCCTCTAAGGGAAAGCTGCAGATTGAAGGTTAAATTGTGATGTCTTGCCATAAAAATTTCGTGGATCTTTTTGGCTATGTATGTATTATACTAACAGAGCTGTAACACACTAACACTGCCACGTTCACATGACTTTTTGGTTAAGCTCCCAAACATTTTTAACCACAAAATTTGGCATGATTATAGATAACGTCCTGAGCTTCAATTTGATAGCTAACACATTAAAAATGGCTACATATACGATTTTTAATGATTTTTCAATATTAAAGGTTAGAATCTGGGAAAAAGGGTTTTTGGCAAATGGACAATGTTGCCTTTCAAAAAAAACATGATGCTTTTTCCTAAGGAATTGGGTCACAAGATTATTTTTCCTTGAAAGAGAACTTAAATAGCTTTAAATATAATTTTGAACCACCCCATTTTGATTTTTGTGGAATAAGTTATGAATTTTCAAAGTTGGGCCAGAGAAACTAGATTTTTACCTAATGAACAGTAAAAATTTGAAATTTAGCATTTTTCAAATAAAAAGTGAGCCCAAGACCATCTAATGTGGTCTAAAATGGTTTTAAATGGAACCTAAGTTGATAAAATAGTAAGGTGTGACATTTATCGATCAGGTTATCGATAAACAAAGTGTTATAGAAATAGATTTTAAAGCACTAATTTTCGAACACATTATTGATAAATAGATAATGGATAACCTTATCGATAAGCAAGCAAAAGTATATTAAGTGAAAACACAGGCTATGTAGGTTGATCGAATAGGTAATCGATTAATAAATGATCGATCAAGTGATTGATAAAGAGGTTTATTCTTGTAAAATCAAAGAACTGATTTATCGATCACGTTATGTGAAAACAAGGTAAACATGAAGTGCAGTGATCGATCATATTATTGATAATGAGATTATTGATCCCGTGATCGAAGAACCATGATTTAAAAATGATGTGATGATTATCGATCGTGTGATCGATAATTTACTGGTTGATCAAGTGATCGATAAGCTACTGAAATAATTACCTGTACCCAGAGTTATGAAGCAATGTTCGAGCATATTATCGATAAATGACTTATTGATAAAGTGATCGATAAATGGTGACTAAAGCAAAACATAGATTGAGTAGAACACATTACCATTTATTTGTCTTCTCATCAATAATCTGTTTATTGATCATGTCATCGATAAATGCCTATCCCTTTATCTGACTGATGTTCAATCATCTTGATTATCGATCAAGTGATCGATAATTTACTCTAGATTCTTATACCTAACTAAGTTAACAATGATCGATCAATACATTATCTAACAAGTTATCGATCAAAGTTTCTGCTAAGTTACTTGATTGCACGGAGATATTATCTATCAGCTTATCGATAAGTCCTTAATGGATCAGATGATTGATCAACATACTGAAATGTAAATTACTTACTTTGTTATCATCAAAACCTTAATCCTAACATTCTCCCCCTTTTTGATGATGACAAAACATAGGTGAGGAATATTAACCATGTAGCATCAGATAACAGTAAAATTAAAACAGCAAAGGTACTTGACAGATCAAAGTAAGACAAAAAAGCAATAGAAAAGTGTAACTGATAGCATGAACTGTCATAATACATTAGTAAGTAAATTACACAAAAACTCAAAATACATAATAGTAAAAGGCATATCAGTAAAGGCAAGAAACTAAACATCAGAATCTTTCTCCCCCTTTTTGTCAGCATCAGATGAAGAAGGGGAAGGAGTAGAAACAGTAGGCATGGGTAGTGGAATAGGAAGAGGTGAAAGGTGAGAAAGTGGACAGAATGGTGGAAAATGCAGAGAAGGGACTGGTTGGGGAAAAGTAATAAGGGCTAAAGGAGGAGTGGGAGAGGTAGGGGGTACAGATGGTGAAGTGAAAATTAGAGAAGTGGGTATAGCAGAGGTAGGAGGTGCAGGCTTATGATGAGGAGGAGATGGTGGATTAGAGAGTAAGTCCTCAAAGCTAAAAGTAGTGCTGAGGGTAGAGAAGTTGTTGCAGAGAGAGGCCACCATCCCTTTGAGCTCTCGAATCTCTCTGTCAACATGATCAAATCTCTGAGAAACCTCCTTTTCTAAAACCATCATTGCTTGTCAGTGAAGATCTAGGATTTTGGAAATGCCCTCAAATTTTCTGTCTGAAATCTCCCCATATTCTCTAGCAGTGACATAGACTCTCTTCTCAAACTCTTGAAGTTCAGCTTGAAACATCTCCCTGAGTGATCTCTTCATAAATGATGGTCCAGGGGTATGAGAAGGAGCTGTAATGGATTTGGCCTCATCCTAGGTTCTAGAGGTGCTGATAGCTGGTTGCGTCCCTTTGTCCTTCTGAGTCACCTTCTGTGAGGGTCTAAAAGGTAGAGGGATCCTCATCTTGTGTAACTGTGTGATGCCAAAGGCAGGAACTTTTGTCTTGGATTCTCCAGGCTCAAAAGGGGTAATGTTATTTGCCTGTAGGATGTATGTGGCCAATTAAGGGTAGGGGATTGGTGTAGACTTGGATTTGTTAAGAACAAAATCCTTCATCTCATTATAAATGAAAGCCCTTATGTTGATGTTTTCTCCACTGATTATCCTAGCCAGCAGCAAATAATCATCCTGAGTTAAATATGGAAAGCTCCTAATTTGTTGATCATGCTCCTCAAATAGATATAGTGGATTATTCTATAATAATCACACATCTGTTTAGGTAGAAAGTTTAGCTCACCGGGGTAGTCATCACTTTGTATCAAAATCTTGTAAGCTTTTATTTCATTCATATCTCCCCCTCTCACCGATTCTTGAGTTCCCAGCAACTCATTCAACTTAGTACCAGTAAGATGGAAAGTTCTGCCTTTAAGTTTGACCCTTAAACAATCATCTATCAGATTGTCCTGCTCATCATATTCTTCCACTAATTCCATATTACAGTAGAACCTTTTAATCACTTCAGGACAAAATTCTCCACTAATTATCAGCCAATTGGAATAATATTCTTGGGGATCACTCAAGGCCAAGTTAATTTGTTTATTTTTCTTTAAACTCTCAATATCCACAGACACAACAGGACAAAATCTTCAATTTGTAAAATCTACCTTAAACTTAGCCGAATTCACATCTTTATCTAGATTTCCAATCAGCAGCTCAGAAAAATCAGATTGAATACCTTTAGGAGGAATCTGTCGTGATACACCTTCACTGGCTCTCTGCTTTTTCTGTCTTGGTTGTTTGAGGATGGGAACTCTTAAGGTGGTTTCCACACCTTTCTGGACTGAGACTCCTTCATCTGACTCAGTTTCTGATTCCTCAGTGACTACTAGGAGCTTGGATTTGGACTGGGGAGATTTTCTTTGAGGCATGGGTTGTTCTTCAGTCCGACTCTCTCATATTTTCAGGACTCCTCTCTTCTTTGATGATTCTTGTCACACCTTACTTATATAATACCTTAGCATTCATTTAGAACCATTCCAGACCACTTTGGATGGTCTTAAGCTTAAAAATTTCAATTTGGACGTTAATTTTCGGAAAATTACTGTTCACTGTCCAGCTTTCAGATTACAGGTCCAACTTTGAAAAATCATAACTAATTCTAGAAATATCGTATGGAGGTGTTCCAAAATTCTACGGAAAGCTCTTTCAATGCTCTTTAAGGGAACAATATTCAACTGAACTCATCCTCACTGAAAACATACAGTTTATTGGATTAAAATTACTATTCATTTGGTAAAATCTGGACTTTCCAGATTCTGCTCCTTAACTTCAAAAATTCATATCTCATTGTATACACACCCAAATGATGTGATTTACCACTCATTTTAAAGCTTGGGATATGCATTATAATTGTACCAAATTCTGTAGCTTAACTCATTCATATGATAGGTCAAACTGAAGCTTGAAATTAACTGCTTCAGGACCTACGTTTTATCCCTTAATATCTCTTTATTTTAATTCTTTTATTTCTTTGGCATACCTAACATGGCCTTAATCTTTCTCATTCATACTCATATACTTTCATTCATGCCATAAACATCCTAAGCATATACATTGAATTGATAGCATTCATAACATAACTTACAATATAGGAGAATTATACATTGAATAATAACATCAATTATTAGCATTAATAATTCTCCACTTCTTCTCCTTGCTTCTCATGCCCTTAGTGCCCATCATTGATTTGACCTAAATGGTTGGTTAGGGAGGGGGTGAGATTCGGGGGAATCTCAGTAGCAAACATTACCACATACATGCACAAGATGGATGCTAGTGTATGGTATGTAGTTTTTCATAAATTTAAGTTAACTAGTGACATGCCATCATGCTTTATGCTTGGTATAAAAATGCATGGCCATGGGAACATATTAAAAATAGCATTTCCAGCAACAATCATCATGTCATAACATCATTCAAACAACAAATACAAACCAACACATAAGCATACCATGTCAAGCACATAAAGGGTAAGTTCACTACCTTGCACCTCAAGCTTTCCTCTTACTTTTCCTTTGACTCCCTTGACTTTCCAACCATGTGGGCATTAGGTCAACATCACTAAACATACTCTTGGATGTTTTAAAGGTCCTAAACATAACCATAATGATGACACAATCCATTAGGACCATTAGATTACATAAAGTTCAAGACTAGCTTTCTTGAACCTCAACCCCTTTCTCTTAGTCTTAGGGTTTTCTTTCTAAATTTTCTAATATAAATCTTATCATTTTACATCCTTATGATCTATTTCCTATCAATTAGGACTACTTTAGATGGCTTTAGATTCAAGAATATCAAATCTGAAAATTTTGGTTCGCGGGTACTGTTCACGCAGAATCTTCAGAATTTTTGCTCAACTTTGAAAATTCATAATTAAATCTAGAAAACTCCAAATTGAGTGCTTCCAAGTCTCAATGAAAGATAATTAAGTTAAATTTAAAATAACAATAGTTTCAGGAACCAATTCTACTCATAACAGTACCATAATTGTACGGAAATCGATAATCTCCCAAAAGTTCAACACTGTTTCCAGATTTCAAACCTTAACTTTGAAAAATCACCATAAATCGTACACATATCCAAATAAAGTTTTCTACCCATGTATTTAAAGCTCATAGAGTGTACTTTAAGCATGTCAAATTTCAGAACCAGATATGAACAGTAACTAATTCAAAAAAGCCATCAAATCAGCACGTAATTCTTCCAATGTTCACATAGATCCACTTGGATCTACCATACTTTGAGGTGTTCTAGCAAGATCTAACAACCAAACTCCCTTCCCCACTCATCAACCATTTTGACCAGCCATCAAAAGGGAGAGAAGACATATTTTCAACCATAAAAGAGAAAGAAACCAAGGCAAGAACACATCTAGAGCCAAGAACTCACCTTGAACCTTGATTGTATGACCAAAGTTGATGCCTTTCTCTTGGTTTTCCCTCAAAACTCTCTCTTTTTCCCTCTCTTCATGCCTTGCACGAAATTCCCATCTGATTTAGGGGAGAGATGAGCTCATTAATGTGTACAAAATATCCCACCAACCATCATAAATGTTATGCCAAGTGTCATTAGCCTACTTAATCTTAATCCTCTCTCTTAATTAACTTAAATCATAATGTAATTAAATTCCAAAGTCAAGATCCTCTCCATTGGTAGCTTGACACTTGGAAAGCTTTAATTAACATCCATTAAAGGCTTGACAAGTGGCGACTTGTGGCCCAAGTAAAGTGCAAGACTCTGATTAATACTTTATCGGTGCACTTTTACTCCGGGTTTAACTTCTTTTCTCTAATTACAGTGCTCTGGCCTCTGTAATTATTTTCTGTCAGATCCATAAATTCTCTTTAATTTTAGAGAGTATCTCTGAATTTTCTTAGCCCATAACACTTCCGTTAAGCCTTGCATAAAATTCATTTACTAAAATACCCTTTTATCGGTAAAACCGGCTCTTTAATTTCTTAAAGCCACTCTACTGGCCTTTTGGTTGCGGGACTAATTTTATAAATTAGCACAACCTTTCAACCCTTTAACCTCATTTTTGTATACACTTTTGAGGTTTCTTGCTATTTCAAATAATTACCTCAAACGGTATACTTTTTACCGATCACAACCTCATAAATTCCATTTAAGCTGCCTCAGGGGTATTTTCATCTTTTCTCTTCATAGAAGAGTCTTAGAATATTATTTCCCATTTTTTTTGGGATTTTCTTGGAATTTTCTGTACACTCTTCCATTTTTGCCCTTACTGGTCATAACTTTTTGAATTTACGGTTTTACCCCTGCTTAAGCCTAACCTCATAGAATCATCTCTTTGAGGTTTCTAACTTACCCATTGGCCGGTATCTAGCCTCTTTTCTCTTTTTGGGCCTTCGAGACTTTACTGGAGCCTCTAACCTTAATTATACTCGAGCCCCTGAAAACTTTTTCTTTACAGTTTAGTCCCTGAAACTGCTTTAACTTCCTTTCTCGTCTTTGGGACTTCTACTCACAGGGGTCTGATAGCCTATCTAATTCAGGCTATTACTGGTACTTCTAGGCCTAAAACTTTGGATGTTACAATTCTTCTCTCACTTTCAATTTGTACCTCTTTTTTGTACCCGAAGGAGTAGTGTCACTTGATTAAACTCGTTTCTCAGAGCTTTCTTCCCTCCCAACGTTCGGCTGCATCACTCTCACCATTTCTGAGGTATCGAAGGATTTCTAGGAAATTAAACAGTTGAAAGAGTGTATTTCGATTACGGTAGGGGTCGAGTAAGTAGCAGAGATGGATTCGAGTGGATGGGTGACCAGAAATTTAATGGAATAGTGATTTTGGACCATTGCTAGAAACAAGCAAATGATTTTGTTCGAGTTAGGGTTTGATAACTAATAAGGGGTTTTCAAAAATTAAATGTTATAAACTTTAAAATTATCGATCATGTTATCGATCACGTTATCAATCACGTTATCAATCATGTGTTTGATAAATATGAAGAACACACAAAAGTACTGAAGACAATGATCGATCAAGTTATTGAACAAGCAATTATCGAACATGTTATCGATACAATTGATAGAGGAAATACGTACTTGGTTAGTTTATCAATCATTTGATCGATAATCCACTTATCGAT